GAAGAAGAAGAGAAAGAAGAAGAAGAAGGGAAGAAGAGAAGAAGAAGAAGAAGAAGAAGAAGAAGGGGGCTGATCTACCGGCAATATACACACAGAGCTGCACAGACCACGGCAAAACTCCGCAGTTTTGCTGTTCGATTTTGCAAACTTATATTTAGAAGGGCAACGATCTTTTGCCGCGGCAGCTCCGCGACCGAGAGGAGAGGAAAGGTTCTGGGGATACGCGCGCGGTCTCTCTCGTGACTGGCCGCCGAGATTTCTCAACTCCGCGCAGATCCGACTCCTCTCTCGAGTCGATTTTCATCTTTTTGCATTTTCCTCGTTACCCCCGCTGTTCGATTAAATTTCTTTCCCGCGGGGGCCTGCTCGGCCCTCGGCCCTCGCTTCTTCTTCGGAGATCGGCTATTACGCGCGCGCTCCTCGGTGTTTTGCATTCGAGCAGAAACACCGCGCGGTTAATGGCCGTTGCGTACGCGTCACGTTTCGAGTTTGCAATAATTACCGGTGGCACGTAGGATAACGGTTGTTTAATAAGTTCGGCATTCTACGGGGTGGCTTTCGGCGGGGAAACTATGCGAGGCTGCGCGACGTGAAACGTGAAACGGCGAGCAAAAGGCGAAGGCACCGCGAGGTGAATTTTAGAAAACGCCCGGCGTATCGGTCGGATTACATCGACTTCTCTCTCGTTCGCTCCGCGAAGACAGAGCGTAGATCTAATTGGTCGATTGTACGGTAGATTGTCAGGTTGGAAATGGCAGGCAATGAGTTGCGGAATGTTCAGCGCTTGTCGACGATGCGAGAGGGGGAAATTTCGATATTGATAAATACTAGATATAGATCGTAACGCTCCGACGACGCCTGCGAGAGGTTGAGCAAAAGTACGAAATCCTCGAATCCTGGGGTACATAGGAATTCGAAAGCGCGATGGTGCTCGAAATGAAAATCTCCAAGCGGAGGAAAAGCGCGCGCCGCGAGAGACGTTTCGGTGCGCGGCAACCGAGCTTGAGCGTGACCGCCCCTGTGTGAATGTAATCTTATCGTGGCCGAGCGATGCGGCGAACGCGACTGCAGAACCGAGTCGGAGTCAACGAACGATAAAAAAAAAAGCGCGTAGCCATACTCGCGACACAAAGAATAAACTCTATTCCGTGCGGCACCGGCCCTCCCTTTTTCCTCTCGGGCTCGCGATCTCGTTCCGTCTCGCTCGTTCGTTACCGACGTGCAACTCTTCTTCTCCTGGTCATCCGCGTTCGCAACTTGGCCAGAGCCGTGTGTGGGCGCGCGAGTTCTTTCTCCTCCTCTCTCTTTCTCTCTCTCTCTCTCTCTCTCTCTCTCTCTCTCGGCCCTTCTCCCTCCTCCCTTTTTACTCCTTCTTTTTCTTTCGTCGACCGCGCTTGGGGTAGGTCATGGCGGAACCGCGCGAGCGAATGACGAGGAAGGAGAAAAAAAGAACGAGAGGAAGAACGAACCGTACGCGCCGCGTACAGAATGTTCCGCCGGGCTCACGACTTTGTAACGCGCACCTTTCTCCTTCTCTGCTTTCGGCCGGGCCACGTTTCTCGAGAGATGCTTATCGTCCAATGAACGAACGCCGGTTCCGTGTCGCGTTATCTTTCTTTTTTTTTCTTTTCTTTTTCTGAATTTTTCCCGAGTTTCTCCTTCTTCCCATTCGACTCGTTAAAGAGATTCGCGAAGACTTTTTTTGGTTAGTTGAATTTCTTCGAAATTTCACCGCTCGCCACCACACAGGTTGGCGGTTTCTCTCTCTCTCTCTCTCTCTCTCTTTCTGAGGCGTTGGTTCGCGAATTCGCCGGAGTTTCGCCGAAGATCGAACAATTCGATTAGAAGGATCTTAACAGCCGGCACGGGGTCGGCCCCGTTATTGTTAGCGATCATGCGATCTGAAAATCATAGAAAATTACTGAAAAGCCAGGAAACTTTGTAGGTAGCGAGCCGGGCAGAAGGTATTGGTTGCCCGTGGACTTGAGATGTCGTAATTTTGCCTTCGCCATAACGGCTACGCGGCACGGAAGTTCTTCCCTCTTCCCGCCCTTCTATCTTTCATCCTCCGGGGTTTTCTTCTTCGACTTGGAACAGAAAGCTCTCTTTCTCTCTTTCTCCCACCCTCCTCCCTCCTCCCTCCTTCCCTTTCCCGTAATAGTAGAAGGGTTAGCGAAACAATGGCACGCGCGCGAACACCGTTATTTAAATAATACGATGGAACCTCTTCGGGGGTTGGAGGCAAAAAATAAGTTACGCTCAAGGGGACGGAGAAACCGAACGTGAGAAAGACCGCGCGCGCGTTTCGTTCGGCGAAAATCAGTCGACGCTTTTGTTCCTAGCGCACGAAACGTTCTTCTCCTGGTGCGATCTCTTCTCAGAAGAAGAGAGACAAATGTTTCGGAGATCGGGTAAGTTTGAGAGAAAGTGCCAGATACTAAACGAACGCACGTACCGGATCTTTCAATTGTCGATGACGATTTCCTCGATCAGAGTACTTTAACAAATAGACACGTTTGTCGTTGTACGGCGTAGCTAAAAGATATGCTGATATTGTTATACGTATTACGTGATAATAAGTAAGTCAGATGGTATACAACTCGCAACAGGAGTTGAGGTAATTGATCTCAAATTAAGCAAATTTTCTAACATTCAAAAACGATCGTAGTTATCCGCGATCCGTGATAATTTAACCCGGTTGAAGGGTTCGAGCTGAGCGTGAGCGCACTGAAAAACCGTACCAAAAGTTTCTCTCGCAACTGTGATTACTTTCTCTTCGTCGCTCCAAGACGCATCTCGTGCATCAAAGATTCTGCGAGTATCGATCCGCACGCGTTCATATTCGCCTTAACCCTCCCCCTCCCCCTCCCCCTCCCCCCCTTTTCTTTCGTCGTCTTCGTCTTTCCCCCGTAGCGGAGTTCCGGTTCTGGCAGCTGTCGTCGATTCAAAATCGGGACTCGGAATCGGTCAAGGGTAAGCCCGTGGTGGCACCGCGTTACGTTACCTTGTCGATGCCGAACCGGTTTAAAGCCCGGGGTGAAAGAGAGATTTCAGAGGGAAAGGACCGGCGCAAAAAATTCATTTGAATCGCCGGAGGGTCGCGCAGAGGTGTCGAAATAATTGGATTTTAATTTTCGAGCCGGTGAAAGAACAAAAACTGCCTTTCTCTCCGTCTCGCTGGCTACGACGACCCTCTCCCCTTCCCCGGATCGGGCACCATGAGAATCACTCGGGTTATGAGTGTTTGTACAACGCGTTCGCCGCGCATCAATGTTTTTCGACTTTTCATCTTTTTCTTTCTCGACACCCTTTGTTTTCCCACGATTTCCAGTGCCGCGTTTTTGTCAATCGTCATCGTCAGCACGATCGCCAGAATCGTCAATTTTCAGTACGCGTCGAGAAGGGGACGAAATCGTGAAAATGTCGCGAACATCGACAGCGAAGGTCGTCTTGGCTTTTGGAAAATGGCAATGCGTGCGCGTTGCTTTTAATATTTTGTCACGAGCACCGACAACGGCGCCTGCCCTCTCCCCGCCGCCGATGAAAATTCACGGCTGGCGGGAGCGGGGGCTCACAAAGGAAGCGAACGTTTTAATTAAATCTCTCGGCAAAACGTGAAAACTTCGCCATCGTGCGGCGTTTTTGCGAATTTTCCGAAAGTTTCGGCTTGGCTCGCGACTCGCTTTCAAGGTGGCGATGGACGAGGGAACTCTCAACCACCTTCTCGCCCACCACCATCTCACCCATTCATCCCCCCGCAGTTAGCGGGAATAAAAGAAGTCGGAAAAACAAAGGAGCGCCGCGGCTACTTAGCGAAACAAATTGTTGCTTTCTGTGCTCGGTGCCGAGAATTTAAAAGTTTTGCACGAGCCGCTTCTCTTTTTACTCGCCCCCCCTCTCCCCCTCCGCCCCCTTTATATACCTGCCTCCCTCCCTATTCTTCGCGGCCTCCTCTCGTTTCTCTTTCTTTCGTCTGTCTATCCAGGCGTCTCGTACCTTCGAGTCTCCCGAGACGGATTCTCATCGAGTCGAACTCGATTCACGGCTCGTTAGCGGTGCTTCCTTTTCCCTTCATTTCGGTTCCCTGCCTCGTAAAAGGACACAACGCCATATACGCGGAGAATCGCGTTATCGATCGGGATGGAGTGTCCCATTAAATCGGCCGCATCGTGCGTGGAATACGCGTACGGAACAATTAAACGCGGTATTGTATCTCTCGCGAGCTGTGCGATGTACCGTTGGCCGAGACGGTCGTCGGTCATCTACCTACGGAACGTGTACGTAAAAATGTGTGTATGTACACGCGTGTCCACGATCTTCCCGTAAATCGCTTGGATCGATCTCGAACCGCCACGGCGGTCAACGCTTTGTTATACGTCGAGGATGGCGGCGCGCGTCGTCGTCGACACGAGCAGACGACGACGCTACCCAGACGAATTTCTTGGCGAGCAAGATGCTCTTCCTTTAACGTTAATATTAAAGGTGAGACGGAGAAAAAATTAGAAACAAAATTAATATGGAAGAGATCAACTTACAATGAAGCACATACACGCACGTAGAGCATGCCAGGCGCTGCGACAAGAGCAACTAACGAGAAAAATACGAGTGGAAAATAATAAGGGGACGGGTGTGTGTGGGGGGGGGGGGGGGAGAAAAAAAAAAGAACGACGAGAGACGGACAGAGCGATCGCGCCCGCCGTCGCCGCAGCAAACTCGCGATCGAAAACCAGAAAAAAAAAAAGGAAAGAATTGAAGTGAAATCGCGAAACCAAAGATAATTCGACTACGTAAAACGTGCGGGAGGAACATGTAGAGGAAAATGAGAGAACAAAAATTTTACGCAAAGAGAAGGGCGTTGCGTCGAAGAAGAGCCTCGGGTACGAATTGGCGAGTAAAAAGAAAAAGAGAAAAGAAATTAAAAAGTGAGAAGTTGTTGCAGGAAGCTGTGTGACGAGGAGAAATAATAAGGGGATTTTGAACGGGCTGAGTGTTCAACTCACTCGTTGCAGGGTAGACCAGCATTCCTCGAGGGTGCGTTCGTTGATGTTGCCCATTCCTCCACCTCCGCCGGCGCCTCCCGCACCTCCAAGTCCCGCCGCACGAGACTATCGGGCAAGACAGGAGGCTCGTGTTAGTTTACTTTTTCTCGTTGCCGTTTCTTCTAGCCGGCAGTTACTAGAAAATCGCTTTCTTTTCTATCTCAGATTCGTAAGCTCTAGCTTGCGATAAATTCGTGCAACTCGTTAATTCCGACGCATTGCTGCTCTAAATCTCTCCTCTCGGACGGTGAGAACCGTCATGCTGATTGAGAAGACTGAAGGAGGAGACCGTAGAAATTTTCTAGAGGTAGAGAAAACAGTTGAACGTTCCCAACGACGTCCGAAAAGGAAAAAAAAAAAAGAGCAGAAAGAAAGAAACGAAGAACCATCCGTAAAATCGCACGGTCGAGTCGCTCAACTTTTTCCTCTACCAAAGTGTCTCATTTTTTTCTTCTTCCGTCATCCTTCTTAATAGAATCGCGTCGAAACAGAAAATCAGCTCGAATCGAGCGTGCGTGCGTGTTTTTCTCTCTGTGTATGTAATTTAAAGCGAGCAAAAGAAAAAAAAAAAAGAGAAAGAAAGGTTCGGATTCCTATTAGCGGTGAGACCGAAGCGGATCTTGCGGGGATATATTTACTTAGTTTCCTCGTATCGAAGCTCCGCGGACTGTGGCATCGCAGAAGCACGCCGCGATATTTTCTCGAGAACATCTTCTCGGCGTACCGTATGACGTATGCGTATAGTATTATCTGTGTTGCGCGGGTCAAGAACCCCGAGAGACGACGTATCTGCATCTCCTCGCATCGGTGTGCGTGGGCCGCGTTTGCATTTGTGGCCCCGTGACTCTAATGTGTGCGTGGTTGGCTGCTTGCTTGCTTGCTTGCTTGTCTGCTAGCCGGAGAGAGCGCGCGCGCGAGCGCGCTCTCGCGTGAACGTTCACTCTCTCTTACTCTCTCTCTCTCTCTCTCTCTCTCTCTCTCTCTCTCTCTCTCTCTCTCTCTCTCTCTTTCTCTTTCTCTTTCGCTCACTCGCTCGTTCGCTCGATCTCTCATTCTCTCACATTCTCTCTTGGACACTCTCTCACTCTCGCTCTCTCGCTCGTTCCGTTGCGTGCATGTGCCGCGGGTGTATGTGTGTCGTGGCGTACGCGTGTTGAAGTACGCGATGTGGTAAGTCAACGTATTCCGATGTGCGTGAACCATGGTCAGTGTATCTCGGTACAGTCGCAGATTCAAACAGTCAGCGAAATTGTCGACGATGTAGCGCGATTTATTGAAAGTCATCCAGTTAAGCCGATACGGACGTTTTCGTCGTATCCTGTCGATTCTGACAGGTCTGACATCTGGTCTTTTTTGTTCCTCTTTCTTTTTTTTTTCATTTTTTTTCTTTTCTTTTTTTCTTTTTTTTGTTTCTGTATCGCGATCGCGAGACAACCGAGATCCTCGTTGTCCGTCTCTCACGGACGGCTTTGTCGGGGAATTTTTGACTCGAACCTGGCGTGATTTCGTTGAACGAAATCGTGGAATACGTTCGCAAGAACAGAGGATAGAACGGCGATTCGTTCGTTATCGAGAACTCGCGGAATAGGCGAGCTCGGAGTATGGAAAAGATTCGACCTGATCTCGAGACGAGAGGCGTATTTTTCACCATTGATAGAAACTGTTTAAAAGTATTGTCCGGCGTCAGTCGGCCCTGTGTGAATGACCCTATTTATCGGCGCATTATGCACTTTTATCGCGGTTGCCTCGTCCCAGTTATTTATCTCTTCTCTCCGTTAGCTACGGACGAGAGTGGTCTAACGAGAGATCGAGTAAATAAAAATGGAAAAAGAAGAGAAAAATAAAATAAAGAGAAAAGCAACAAGAGAAAAAAAGAAACAGACGAAAGAGTATCGGTTCTATCGATCGTAACAAAGGTATTCTCACCTGCAGCTCGTTGACGAGTTTTTCGGTCAGGTCGTGGGAGTCCTGGCTCGTCGCGCCCGGACTCAGCATCGAGTTCTGGGAATTTTGTTGTTGATTGGTCGACATGTTCATCCCGGCGAGAGCACCGTTCTGAGCGATGCTGCCGGCCATGTTGAGCGCCTGTTGTTGCAGATTTTGCGTGAGGTTTTGCGCTTGCTGTTGCGTGAGGTTCTGCGCTGCCTGTTGTTGCAGCGCCTGTTGACTTAGACTCTGGCCGAGGTTCTGGGTCAAATTCTGAGCCGGTTGCTGCAGCGTTTGCGACAGATTCTGCGCCTGACTTTGAATGTTCTGTTGCAGGTTCTGATTCGCCTGGCTCAAGTTCTGCGGTTGATTGAGCAACTGTTGCTGCTGTTGCGGAGACAGGCTCGGCGTCAGACTCTGCGCGAGATTGTGCTGCAAGGTTTGCCCCAGGTTCTGCTGCATGTTCTGCGACAAGACCTGACTCAACGCCTGTCCCAGGTTCTGATTGATCGCCTGGACCGCTTGAACGGACAGCGAGGGACTCGAGGTTTGGGACATGGTCTGTTGTGCCTGCGCCAGGCTGTGAAGACTCTGGGCCATGCTGGACGTGATGCCGCCCTGATGGTCCGCCTGTGGCGAGGGCGTCGTCGGTGCCGGGGAAGACTGATGCTGCGCTCCTTGAGCCGTTTGCTGGCCCATGGACATGGCGTGCTGTTGTTGTTGTTGCTGCAACTGCTGCTGCGGACTGGCGGTCTGTCCTAATCCCGTGTTGGCGGTTTGCTGCACCTGCGACACGTTCTGCTGCTGCGGCTGTTGCTGTTGTTGTTGCTGCTGCTGCTGCTGCTGTTGCTGCTGCTGTTGCTGCTGCTGCTGCTGGCCGAGAGGGCTGTGCATCTGTTGTACCTGCTGGTGTTGCTGCTGTTGAGTCGAGTTGGAGATAGGGCTGTGCTGTATCCCCGGCGAATGTTGAGGCGGCCCCCGTTGCGGTTGCTGCCAGTAATCGGACATCTTGAAAACATGTTGTCGCAGCGCGTGAAGATTCGCGGCCGCCGCTGTCGCTGTGACGGCTTGGACCTCCATGGGTTCCGGCTCGTTTTCGAGGTCTGCCTCGGGCGAGCTGCAAGGATCTTCGTCTTCCTCCTCGTCCTCCCTCTCGGTGATATCCTCGTCGTCCTCGTCTTGGATTCTGACGGCTCTGTCAGCCTCCGGCCCGGCCGAACCTCCTCCAGCAACACCAGCAACACCACCGCCACTTCCGCCGCCGCCACTTCCACCGCCGCCACTTCCGCCACCGCCACCGCCACCTCCACCGGCTCCACCGCCACCTCCTCCACCTCCTATCCCACCCCCCGAATCGCCAGAGTGGAGATGATTTCCGGGATGGTGTTGATGATGATGATGCTGTTGAAGGTGATGGTGTGGACGCGACTCTGGATTTTGGCCCTGTTGCTGCTGATGTTGCTGCTGCGGACGCTGCTGTTGCTGTTGTTGCTGCTGCTGTTGATGGTGATGCTGCTGCTGCTGCTGTTGGTGATGGTCCAAGCCAAAGTCGGGGTGGGTTAGCGTCTGGGCACGTAGGTCCAGGGCCGCCGTCGCGTCCGAAATTTTGAGGCCTTCGCGAGAAGCCCGGGCTACCCCCTTCCGGCGCAGCTTGCCCGCTTTTTCGCACCCCTTCCGGTAAGCAGCTCGACGGCCGGCACACTTCTGCGCTCGCCGCCGTTCCTTCCTATCTTTCTCTCCGCTGTATCGCGCTCTTCTTAGCCCAGGATCGTCTTAAGGACAACGATCCTCGCTCGACGTGGGCGGCGGGCAACGTCAGTTACTCGCCACCTGCTTCGACTTCCCGGGCCTGCTGCTGCTGCCTCCCGCTACTTGGCTCATGAAACTCTCTTTCCCTCGATACACCTCTTCCCTCTTTTTTTTTTCCTTTGCCTCTTCCTCGCCCGTTTCTCACTCGGACTCGCGTACCGTTCGGCCTCTTTTCTCACTTCTCTCTTCGTCGTTCGTCCTTCTTCCTCGTCGACCTTTCTCGTCTTATTGTTTGTCGCGAACACCACCGATCCGTTGTTCCCGGATCTACGATCGATGGCCCTTCCACTTTTCTCGATCTTTCGAAACGTCTCGATCTCCCGTAACTTGATCGCCGATCGCTCTTTGTATATCTCTCACACTGATCGTGCAGTAGTACGAGCGTCTCCGCAGTTTGGTGGTTCTATCAAGTTCTTCTCTTTCTCTCTCTCGTCTCGTTCGATGTCGCGTCTCCTCTGCTTCTTCAGCTCCTCCTTCCTATGGTCTGCATTTACGTTTTTTGATACGTACGTTTTCTTTCTTCTACGTGTGTGTATGTGTGGCTGCGTAGTGTGTGCGTGTGTGTGCGTGCGTGTGTGTCTGTCTGTCTGTTCGTGCCTGATGAATCGATGCGCGCGCGAATGGACGTCCTCCGTCTCTAGCGGAGAACACCCTATTTCTTTGTTCTATCTAACTTAAAGTCTATCATACACTTAAGTTCAGGTTAAAATTCAGGATTGCCCAGCCCGGACGGTGTGAACGAGAAGGACAGTCCGTGCAGACGCGAAATTCCTCCGTTGGTCGAAGTATACGTAGACGTTCTCCCTCTGTGCTGAACCGCAGTGAGAAATCGCACTCGCGGATGATACTGCTCGTCCCGTTTTGCCCTGAGTAGTTAGTAGCCCCGTTATGTCGATGTGCGTGTGTGTGTGCGTGGTGTGGTGCGGAACGTGCAAGCCCTTCTTCGTCGATCGTCAAAGGTGCGAAAGGGACTCGCGCGTCGGCCGCGTGTGATACGTCGTGTGATTTCTTTGAACCGGGACGGCAGTTCTCCACTCTCGAGATTTCGGTCACTTCGTCTGCACAGCGTGTGTCGAAGACGCTTCGGTTGGCATCCGCCGCTCCACTCGATCTCTTCCACTTCACAGTTGACAGCTTCAGCCGTGACCTGCGTCTTCCTCGTGTGCGTGTACGATCCTTCGTCCTTTCTCTCTTTCTCTCTCGCTCTCTCTCACTCTGATTCGCGTCTGTTCACGACTCCTCCTCGAAATGCGACTCTAGGGTTTTTTTTTTTTTTTTTCTTTAACTCTTTAAAAGGAATTCTATTCGATTATCGATTAACCGCTCGTCGTTACCGATATCGTCGATGGTAGTTGTGGTTGCTTCTTATTATCGTTTAGGTTTAATAATATTGCACTTAGGTACACTCGTTTTTTGAACACACTGAAATATATATGTATGCGGCGCGAGGTTCTCTCTAACGAGCTTCTTCTTCTTCTTCTTCTTCTTCCTCTTCTTCTCTTCTCTCGTCCTTCCTCTACCGATTTCTTCCACTCTTCCAGATCTATCCTTATCTTCTGTCCGGATCTTCCGCTCTCTTCCTCTCTCTTTCTCTATGTTTTTCTCTTTTTTTTTCACACACTCTTCTTCCTTTCCTTTCTTTCTTTCCTTCTTTCTTTCTTTCTTCCTTCCTTTCTCTCTCTCTCTCTCTCTCTCTCTCTCTCTAGTTCTCTCGTTCTTTCTCTCCTTTCGCTATTGAATCACTTCCGTCGCAACCCCGCTTCTACGCGTCTCGCTTTCGCTCTTCTTTTACTCCTGTGTTCCTCCGCTTCTTCTGCTTTGCTCGTCTTATTCTGCTTCTTCCGCTTTGTCCAGTCTTCCTCTCCTGCGCGGGAATCTCTTGCTGCAACGCGTCTCCCGCTCGAAGCTGCAATTCAGAAAAGAAAACGCTATTTTTATGGCCGATGCGTTTCTCACGTCGACGACGTGCGCGATTCCGACGATTCTGTGTGTTTAAATCGATGCACGTACTTCACGACTCGAATCGCACTAGACTCGATTTCACTAAATCTCTCTCTCTCTCTCTCTCTCTCTCTCTCTCTCTCTCTCTCTCTATGCTTTCACGCGTTTCTAAGCATGCAACTAGACTATCGTTTTCGAAATTCGAAGCTTATAGGATCTTCGACAACCTCGCACTGAACGCTTTCCTCATCAACAAATCGTATACGATCGCGACACGTTCTCTCACTCCCGACAAAATCGCCATTGCATCCGTTCCCTTGATTTTCTAATTTCCGCGAAATTCACGGCACTGAGTCTCGACACCTAAACCGTGTTTTCCAGTTTTCGTTTCAACATTCGTTTGATATGATTTGTCTTCAACCAAGGGTGCACGAGGATGGGATAGGATTTTGGAATTCACCGAAATGTGTTCCGTTCCAACGAAAAGCTACGAGTTTCAATTTTCATACTTCGAACGACGATTTCAGATTATCAGGTTCGAAGAAGAAAAAAAAAAATAGTTGCGTTTCGCACTATCTTGCACTTTTCGTCGCCTCGTCGATCAAATCATCTGTCAGTGTAGTTTCACGACACAGCACGTGAACCGAGAAACGTTTTGCCGTCGCGTCACGCATTACAGTCGACCGTCGAAATTCTCTGTCTCTCATGAAAATCGCGAGTACTCCGGTAAAGTCATCTCGGTTTTGCACTGGCTTCTTTAAACAAATCATCGAACGAGAAAGAATGAAGATGAGGCGAAACCATCCTCGCGATATTTCACCGTCACCGTTTCATCAAACGACCACTCGTGTCTTTTTTTTTCACATCGAATCATCAGCGAAACACTGTTTTTTTTCTTTTTTTTTTTTTTGTTTTGTTTTGTACGGTTTAAAGCATCCATCCATTAGCGAATCAACGAGACCTTCGCATGGTCCGCTCTCGTTTACCGGAATTAATTAATTCGATAAAAACAAATTGCACGCGATTACGGGCGCGAGTTGGTGAAAATTTTTCATCGCGGCTTTTCCTGTCGACTGCCGCGAACAACGAATCGCGAACGAAGGCTAGAGAAAGAAATGGAATATCCAACGACACGGTGACACTCCGGCGACGTTTTCTACGAAACGTCTCTTTCAACCTCGACGACGGTTCAAAGTTTTAGATTTAGAAAAAGATCTACTCCCGTTTTCGTACAAGGAACGAAGATTGTCAAGATCGAAGGGAAGATGTCAGTTTCTCATCACCTTCCAAGGAGTCATCGGCATCGTTCGCGGCATCGAAAATTGTTTCTTTTGTCATCGACACGTTCTCTCGTTGCCGGAACGGATATCGTCGAATGGCTGGCGAACGGGTCGGTCGAACGTTTCAAGACATTTTCGCGGACAAGTGTCGGAACAACGGCTCGTCCGTGTAATTCCTCGACGCGAGTTTTTTCGTTCGTTTCGTCCGTATCTTAACAAGGCACTCCATCGCCGGCCTGACGCCGGGATTAAGAAAGGATCGAGCCGTCCACGATCGCGACGAAACACTGCAGACGACGATGACGTGTACCGGGCATGTCAGGCAAGTGGAATGGAGAGGGGGTGGATCAGCGGTGGTTGGCCGAAAGAGGGGAAAACTGACTAAAATCACGATGGAAAAAATAAACGATCGGGGCATCCCTCGGACATATCCTCATCTGCGTGGGAGCAACGTTGATCACTGTTTTCGTCTAAGTCCCGCGGCTGGTCCGAGCACTGAGAGGCAAACAGACGAAGAAGAAGAAGGAGGAGAAGAAGAAGAAGAAGAAGAAGAAGAAGAAGAAGAAGGAGAAGAAGAAGAAGAAGAAGACATCACATCGAGGACGAGGAATCGAAGGAAAAATCCAAGATCCCTTACACCGTTCCTATCGGATCGAATTCCGTGGTCTCTCGCCGGAGAGAGAAGCATCGAAATCTGGTAGCATTAACGACGATCGTAAAACGCACTTGATCTACTTCTCTCCTCGAAGTTGGAGCGTCGAGAGAGTTTGTCTCTGGTTATCTTGTCAGGCAAGACGATGCGTTGTTCCCAGTATGTATCCCGTATTGCAGTTACAAAGACGATGAAGCACCACGACGACCACGGGAACGACAACTATGACGACGACGACGACGACGACGACGACGACGATGATGATTCGCGACGACGACGACAACGGCAACGGCAACGGCGCGTGTACGACGATCGAGGAAAAAGCTCTCTCCTCTTCCGCGTTCTCGAGTCCTTGACGGAGGAGGAACCGAAACTGACTCGGGTCTGCGGCTCGCGAGAAACGCTAAGTCCTTCTCCGTCGGGGGCCGGTGGTGGCGCGCTTCTCAGACCGCGTGCGTCTGACTAAAAGCCACCCCCTCGTGCCTTAAAGAACGCGTGTTCGGGTAGGGGCGTTGTCTTAGGTGGTGCGCGGTCGCGAAATTTCTGGCTGCCTCCGGCTCCGTTTGCCGGCTCGGTTTTCCGCGTAAGAGGCTCGCGAGCCAGGGTCCTTAGGACCTGGGCCCCGGCCCAGGTCACTCACGACCGACGTCCGACCCTTGACCGGTACTCCCACGGCCAAAATCTACCTCCGAGAGGACGAAAAACTGAGCCTGCTCTAGGACAGCAGTTTTCAAGCTACCCCTCTTTTCCTTCGCCCCCACCAGATAGCTACGACGAGGCGCGCGCTCTGTCTCCCCCTTTTCCTCAACACTCACGACTACCCCTCGCGCCCTGCTCCTTCTGCCCAAGCTCCTCGCTTGTGGGTGGGGGACACTCGGCTGCCGACTCCGCCGACGTCTCCGACCGGGGGTAGCTTTTCTAAGGGGTGAGAAAGAGAGTGGGGCGGCGGTGAGCGGTGTTCCACTCTCTTTCTCTCCCTTTTCCTTCCTCCTTTTTCACCTTCCCTACTCTCTGTACCAGCGATATCTCTCTCTCTCTCTCTCTCTCTCTCTTTCTCTCTCTCGATCCTTTTTTCGCTTCTCTCCGTTTCCGTTTCTCTCCTCTTCTATCCTCCCTCTCGAGAATATCCTCCAGAAAGACAGGGTGCAAGAACTCGTCCGATCATCCTTGTCTATCCCTGTGTACCTGGATCGCCACCCACCGTCGTCTCTTCTGACTCGCGTTTAGTGCAACGAATATAAACACGCGCCTACTTTTCTTCCCTTTCGTCCCCTCGTTCAAGATTGCCCTTGAAAATCTCATCCGAAGCTTTCTAAGATATATATGTATATATATTCTATGTAACGTCACTTTTCTATTTTTTTTTTAATTTTTCCTTTTCTCTTTCCGAACCGACGTTCGCGGCCAACTCTCTTCAGAAACGTACAAACGTAGCGTGAACGTGCGAACGTCACGACGCGATGAATTCGACTGACCGAAAAATTCTTGTCGAGGGCTTCTGTAAGGGGGTGTAGCGGCAGTCTGAGGTACGAATAAAAAGAAGGGGACCGTCGTATAAAAATGGCCTCCTCCCTTGTTGGCTCCGTATGGCCACACACGCGTGACTAACCAGAACGAGGGGGAGTGAGACGCGCTTTCTTTTTTATCCCTTCCCACTTCGGTCTCGACCCTTCTCGAATCGGATTTTTTTTTTTTTTCTCATCGACCGACTTCACTTTTTGCCATTTCGAAGCTAGGTACTCTACCACTAGAGAATCACCTCGTCATCGTTGGCCGTTTCCCGTTACCCAATTCGAGCGACACGGCCGCGAAGAAGAAGGAGGGTGGTTCTCGCCACCGTGTCTCGCTCGGAGATCTCGATCGAAAGATGGATCGTCGACCTCGGGGAGGACGTCGACTTTTCAACAGAGGCGCCCGATGTTCATTTCATAGTCGTGGCTGGTCGATGGTCATCCTACTCGTCTTACGCACCCTCCTCGTCAAATAGACGAGGCCCCTTCTCTTCCTTCTCGCCCCTTCTACGCGCCTCGTCTAACGTGTCTACCCCACCACGCGATGTATAAGCTTTCCATCCCTTCCTGGCCACTGCAACGTCTTTCCCCTCTACACTCGTTCTTCTCTCTGCCCGTCCCTCTCTCACTCTCTCTCTCTCTCTCTCGCCTCTTCCGTGTCTGTCACTTGCTCCCGCGCGAAACAACCCTCCTCCACCCTCTACGCCGAGTTCTGTCCTTTCCTCCGCTCGCTTTTCCCTCACCTTCTCGCGTTCGCTTGCTTTCATCCCCCACCAGCGGCCGGCAATCCCCACGCGCCGCATTTTTACGTTGGTCTCGTCCTTTTTTCCACGTGGCGTGCACGTGGAAGTGTGAGTCCAGGGGGCGGAGAAGCGCACCCTCGTTTTTTTCCGCTCCAACCCCACGGCCGCGTGCCGTGTCGCCTCTCGTACACAGCGTCCACCCTCTCTACCTGCCACGAGACGCTTTCTCTTTTCACGCTCTTCAGGTGGACGCGTTGTTTCCCGGTAACAGCGAAAAAATGAGCCCGTCCCGTGGATTCTTCCGAGCCTCTGCTCTCTTTCCCTCTCCTACCCTCGAGATTTCCTTTGCCACCCTTACGCGACACGCACGTGCAAACGTCCGACCATGCGTGAAGATCGTGCTCGATGGACCTCGAGCTTTCCTTCATCGCGCGGGTTCAAAGAGAGACGATCTTTCGGATCACCCACCCCTTTCCCTTTCGTTTCGTTTCTTTTCGCTTCGTCACGAAGGTGGCGAAGGAAAGAGAATGAAAGAGGAAACCCGTTGCCGTTTTGGGAACACGCGGACACGTGCTTCACGAATCTATCTGCGGGGGAATCTGACAGATGTCCGTAATCGTACGAGCATTCTTTTCTTCTTCTTTTTTTTTTTTTTTTTCTTCCACTCGCACTCGCATCTGCATAAACACGCAAAACTGCGGCGCGGGGGTGTGTACGAGAACGAAGAAAGGAGGGGACTTGTACCACGATCGCGATCGAACTTCCGGTACGCGACAGGC